TCCCTTCCTCTCTTTAAGTAATGGGAGAGCAGAAGTCGCTGAGGGTGAGTGCGGTGCCTTTGTCAATAAGCAGAGGGAGGGAAATGGGGTAATAAAATTCATTTCCTCTCATTCCGTATTTTCTTAAAGAAAGAGAGAGGTTTGGCTGGCGGAGTGTGCCGTGGCAGAGGGGCGGCTGTTCATATGGAAAAAAGGAAGGGAGGTCAGAGGCTGTAAAAGTCACTTGTTTCCTCGAGTAATAAGGCAGAGTGGTAGCATGTGCCAGCTTGAATGGAGGGTGGAGTAATTGCTATTAAGCAGATTTTTATTTTAGCAAGGCACACATGGCAACAGAGACAATTCCTCCCTTTGGAGCCCTAGACCACATGTGCCGACTCTTGGCTCATTCATAAACAGACTTATGTAAACACATCTTCAGCATGCACACAGGCACTGCATTCGTGTCAGTAGGATTTACCGCTATCTCTGTGCTCCTCCAGACATCGGAGCGGCAGCGTTTTTTTCTTCTTCACACTATCTTGTTTCTGCTGAAAAGCCCCGAGCCATCTATTTACCACACTGTGTCTCAGTGTGTATACACCCAGACCTCTTCACTGCATCTTTTTCACACCATCTCTTGCTATGGTTCAGCTGCAAAGCCCCAAACCAGCTTTGAATATATAACGCACACGATTTTTTCTTTCTCTGCAAAGCAAGTCACGAAAGGCAACTTCTGAAAGTTGCACGAATACTACTTCCCATCTGTCAGCAGCAGTCAGCAGCAATGCCACTGCCAAGCCGTTGAGCGAACGTGCATGTTAACTATAACCTCTTGTTAGCAACAGTGTCACTTGCTGTCAGTGTGACCGTCAGGATGGCGCTATTCTGGGCCTGCCAACTGCCCATGTCTCCTGTCTCCCTCAAGGCTCCCCACGGCCTATCAGAGCCGGGGAGGTCTGGGCTCTCCGGACAGACCGCTGCTCTTTTGGGGGGCCGCAGAGCATGTCACTGTCATTTGGACCTATTTCAGAGGGTAATGAGCGAACGTGGACGGCTTCGGCATCCTCGGGATTGACAGCATGACAGTACATGCTGTTCTTTCCTCAAATCTGGACTCTTCTGCGGGATCAGGTGCATCTAGCCTCCAGCTTCTTCCAACAACAACAACAACAAAAAGCATGGCCCTGCAAACGTCATTACTATTCAGCTTCCCTTCCTCCTATTTCCTCTGGAGAAAGGTGCTCAGCTGGCCCCTGTGAGATTGTTAGAGCTTTTCTGTTTAAAACTCCATTGTATAAGTGTAACGTGGTGCTGGGTTGTATGTATTGTGATGATGTAATAGTGCTTTGGTCAGTCCTTGTAATTCGGCGGGCCGGATATACACGCCGAGCCGCCTGTGCCATGCCAGGCTGTTGTGTTGTTGCGTCGAGGGAAAGCAGGGGATGGTAAACAGAGCCTCTGGGTGGTCCCCTTTCTCTGGACTCCCTGGACACACTGTAAAGTCTGCTGACAGGAGAGCAGCTCTTTCTTTTCAACACAACCTGCTCTGTCGCTCTCCTCTCCTTTCTGTTCTGTCGCTTGTTTGTGGCTGCCGCAGTCTATGGAGCTGCCCTCATACATATTGAAGGGGCTTTTGAGGAATCCACCAGTGTGCGTCTTGTTTCATCCAGCCTACCCTCCTCTCCCCTATTTACATTTGAGTGTCAATCGCACCCTCTTTTTTTTTTTCTCCCTGTGTCTGTCTGTATTTTTCTAAAAAAAGTACTTTCATATTCCACTATTCAATTTCTGTTTTTCTCACTCTCTTCCACCTGCCCACTTCGATGCAAGCCCCCCCCCCCCCCACTTTCTCACACCACTTAGCTCCAAATTTCTCTCTGCCTACATTTTATTTGCTGGCTTTTGTTTTGTAGATGAAAACTCTTGTGTGCATCTCTCAAAGCCTCTCTAACGTAACTCACACTGCTCTCCATCTTTTCTCTCTCTAAATGTCTCTCCACGCTCCAAATGTTTATTTCACTATATCTCTGTCTTTCTCAACGCCTCTATACCTTTTATGCATCTTTCTTTCTCATCTATCAGCTATTTTTCTCAGACTGTCTCTCCTCTGCTCCAAATTTCCTCCGGTAAATACAGTGATAATATATTTCTGCTTAGCTAAGTCATACTCCTTACTGCTGCCACTACATAGTCCTCTCTAATATCTTGTTCCATCTCTCCAGCATCACTCTCGTATCCTGCGTCCATATATTTCTATGTTAGTCCTCATCTGAACATCTTATTACATCTTGTGCCTCTCCTCTCTCTCTATCCTTCTTGTTTGTTTCCTGTCTATTCCTATCTTTATCACTCTCTCGCCGGCCCCCTCTCATTCATTTGGCATCCGTCCCTGCTTCAGCTTCTCCTCTGCACTCACTTTCGCCTCAAATATATTTATGTTTACACATTAAGTCCCTTTTCACCTTTATTTCAAACCTTCCTCCTTCTTATCTCCTCCGCGTTATTAGACTTCCTGCAGATTTCCGTCTCACATGGAGACATTTTGGTGGTTTTTTTTGCGCCGCTTGAAGCTGCACTGGACGGATGAGGCAGACTCCATCCGTTTGTTGCTGCTATCCAAATGACTCTGCGTTTCCCAAGAGACGGCCTGGCATTGTTCATTTGTTTGTCTCTGAGTCGCCTGCAATATCTCACACACCACTTACTAGATTTTGACAGTGTAAGGGAAATGATGCATCGCACCTCTAAAAATTCAATTTGCCCAAGGGAGGGAGACATAATTGCAGGTCGGTAAAGGTACCATGTTTGCTAATAACAGGCCCAAAGGTTTTCCTGCATCATTAATAGGTGAAAACATGTTCATTGTTGCTTTATGGTGTATCCCTCCTTTGCACTTTTTCTCCTGCGTCTTTTCTACTTTGCATATTCTCCTTCTTAAGAGCATCTTTTTTTAAGCTCTTCACTCTCATCTCGCACGCCTCCTCACTTTTGCTTTCATTCTTGGTCTTACACTCTCGTTATCTAACATTGTGTTTGCATTTCTCCTCGATTCTCCTCCTCCTCATCCGCCTCCTTCTCAGCTGCTCTTTGTCTCTCAGTTTGGCTTGCATGGTGGGTATGCAGGCGTGCATATTTGTGTGTCTGCGTGTGTGGGTGTCTTCCCTCAACGTCTAACCACAGCGACTGCCTGGCCGTCAGCAGGGCCACTCGCTACGATGTCGTCTTAATAGTCTTACCTGAACTCCAAATCTCTCAGCCGACACGCCGATCATTGGATAATCAACCACCTCTTTGTTTACCTCTGGTAATTAACTACAGCTAATTAAGAACTGGCATTTACCACTTCATCACTTTGCTGTAACGCTAGGGTTACTCACTGATTACCTTGAAAATTGCTCCACCTAATCATTAACTTTGCTTCCATTGCCTCAGGAAAGCCGAAGGAAAATCAACAATTGTGCCAGAGAAAGCAAAAAGAAGACCATGAACAAACTTGTTCTTGGCAAACCATTTAGGGAAGGATGGTGATGCTATCTTTACAGCGTCAGTATTTCATAAGAGGAGGTAGACCTGTGCAATGCTAACTACAGGAAACACTTCTCTTCCATTGTTTGCTAAGAAAGAGCTCACAGGTTCAAGAACACCTCCTGCAGAGGAGCTATATTGACGACACAAACCAATGGAGGCTGATGAGATGAGACACACACCGGACCAAGCATTGCTGGGCTGCTGCTCAGTTCACATCAACACAGTTCTCTTATGTAAATAGATGGCGGGGTGTTGTTTGGGGATGGGAACATGATGATAGTCTGTCGTTAAACCTAACATTTGTATTCACAGTGAAGGGGCCACACACTTCTCCTTTAATGGCCATGCTGGAAGAGCCAGAAGGAGGAAAGTGGCAACAAGCTGACTCAAGACGACTCTCTGCACATTATATATGGTCTGAGATGTTTCTATGGATGTCAGTTTTTTAGCCACGACAATGGCCAACATGTCGACTGCAACAGACGAGGTAAGGCTTGTTTTTATACAGCCGATTGTGTCTTTTGCTTCTAAAGCATTTGTTGGTTACATGTTGCCCCTAACAGCTCTTTAAGAGTAGTGAGCAGTCAGTGAAGGTACAAAACAGTCAAGTACGTTTTTCAAAAAGTGTGAATCACCGCAACCACAAGAGGTCTTTAAACATACAGTCATAAATGAGCACAGAAAGATGTTAGGCTGATGGTACCAGTAGTATGCAATATTGACTGTGGACAGAGGCAATCACACACACACACTCACACACACACACAAACGCATGATCTTCCTACACGCTTACGCCTGGCAGAGAGACAATTAAAAAAAACATGCATGTAGGTTGTTCCCATACAGAGGAATATGTTCTTTCTACTTTTTCAAGGTAAAAGTCCTCCGTGTTTTGATTTCTCTTTTCAGGATCACAGAAAGTGCAACTCTATGACGTCATCTAATTACTCTGGTTAAAATGGATGGAAAAAACAAATTATGGACAGTCAGTTCCCATGCCATACTTGAGACCGTTTCCCCTATCATTTTCCTATATCTTATTTTCATGCCACAGAACGAGCTCAGTGCAAATTCTGTCAGGATCTGAGGTGGATGGGGTTGTGTTTATGTGTGTTCGTGCGACTGCGTTTGTGTCTATGTGGACGTGCAAGTCTGCAGAGATCCATGCACGCGTGTTTGTGTGTCTGTCTGTCGAAGAAAATATAAATATCAGGGCTTGAGCTGCAGTTTTGTCCCACTTCATCTTTCTATTTACTCATTCAGTATTTCAGTTTGAAATGAAAGGTCTACTCATTTGGCTCCTGATAGAGTTTGGACATAAATGTCTGTGGCGCGGCGAAAGCTTTTCCGCAACAAATTTCCCATTGCAATGCAAATGACAATTATGTTGGCAGTCCCTCTCACTCTTTTATCTTCCCACCGAGCCACAAAAAACAATTGGACTCTAAAAAATTGATCTACCGGGATGAGCGCTCTTCATGAATACAAAACACATTATTTTGGACGACCTGCTTGACACTGAGTAGCACAAAATTACCATATATATGTGCCTTTCTGCATTTGTACTATTAGATCTGAAATGGTTTGTCAGTTTGGTCTGCATTTTTAAATGCAGATTGCTTGAACTGTGACTACTCAGAACCACTGAACATCGAATATATAGGCTGCAAGGTACAGAGGACTCCACTTGAGTCTGCATAAAGTAAACAGTAAAAGTAAAGGCCTTATGTAAAACACTTGACAAAATAGTGTGGGTGTCTGTTTGAGGTGATTATTAACACAGCACAGAGTCGGACTGGGGTTAACAGGAGATGGAAATAGATATTAGTCTAATCTGCTTGGAGCACCAGGTGAATGGTATGTAATTGCGCTGTGACAATTAAACTGTCAGATAAACTGTTGATTTGCAATCAGTAGTATACTTGACAGTTTAATCGTCTTGTGAAACTGTCAGGCCCTCTGTGACAGCTGCCACCGTCTAAAATTTCATGCACCGTCTCCTCTGGCTAACCTGATCTGAGATGACTTTAACAAAAACATAACATCTTAAAGGCTCTATCTCAGGGCTGCACAGAGCCTCTTGTACTGTAAGAATGCCCGATTTCAGTTGAAGTGTTTGCTTACATCAGGAGAGTATACTGCTCTCTCTGCCTTCCTTCACTCTCTTCTTGAATATGGACCAAATACACCTGCTGAGTTTATCTGATCACATCAATGAATCGTATCTATGTCCTGAAATTGAGTCAATGCTCCAAACTGTCAGCTGTTTGAATTTATTATCCACAATGGTTGCATCCCCTTTTTTCATTTGTTTGTTGTTTGCTGTGATACATTTGAAAGCTGCTGTTCTGCTAAGCAGACATAGCTAATAAAGTGCCATGTCGAGCAGAAGAAGCAGGCTTGAAAACCCCCTCTGGCAATTTGGCTCACTAGACTGAACAAGCAGCTCGCGGTGCAGATTATCCATGTCAATGGAACAGAAAATGAGAATCGGGATTTGCAATGTATCTGACAGCATGGAGGTTATGAGCTTCCAGCTGAAGGTAGAGTCTTTGTATTTGACTCTCTCGGTTTTACATTTCATGTGGCCTATCATTTCAACGGCTGAAAAACTCATCGCTTTCAAAGTCAAGGTGGAATCGCTTCCATGTTGATATTACAAATGAACACCTTTAAAATAAGATTCACACATAGTGGAAAAAGAGCCCTGTAAGATAAAAAAAACAAAAAACTTCCCTCCAAGAAATCACTGTACAAACAAACCAGATGTTGCTCAACCAGTACTCAAGCAAGGGTGGTGCACTTCAGTGACAGATAAGAGCTCAGGAAAAAACAGTTTGAATGCTTTCGACATTGGACATAATAACTTGGGTGCAACAACAAGGGTGCAACATAATGCATTAGCCTTGCAACAGATACAAGAAAACAGTGTGTGGCAGCTTTTAATGTTCAATTTTCATTTACAATGTGTCGTCTGTGTGTGCGTGCGTGCGTGTGTGCGTGCGTGCGTGAAAGCTGGTGTGCATTTATATGTTGCAAGTGCAATGAAATTGTTTATTTGACATGTGCGCAAGTAACATTAAAAAATATATCATATGAATAAATGAGCGGTTTATATTGTAGTTTTAGTTCTCATGAACTGATACCAAAGGTATCCTTATCCTAAAGGAAATGTTTTGAACGTAGGGTACTATAGAATTGTAGGTATACTATAAAATCTGCAAAATTTAACATTTTATTAGCTACATTAAAAACTATGATATAAAAAGTATGATAAGGTTTCTGCAAGCAGACATGTGACTGCTTGCAGATGTTAAACTGCAAACATCTAGCGTAAAAATCCCAGTCCGATGTTTCTGAATGTTGTGTTGTAGACCTACTCGGACATACTGTACATGATGGAGTTGTAATATTGTGCTCAACGCGTAAACATACAGCAGGCCTACATAGTAGAGAAAGCTGCGGAACTCGCGTCTCTCGGACAGCCCTCTGATTGGTCCCCGCTGGTACAAAGGCGGGGCTCGCGGCTGTGGGCATTTCACAAAATCAGCCACCACGCCGCTCGGGCTTTCATTGACTACGGATCTGTCGAGTTAACCTGACCTCTCTACGGTTTTTTTTTTTTTTATTGCTGCGCGTATGTACTTGCGTTTTGTTTTTCTTTTAGATTCACTACATGCGTAAAGTGTTTTCTTAATCGTGCAGTCTCGAGGTGCGCGGACGAGCTCCTCTCGCTGAACTTTTTTTGTTGTGTTTTTTTATTTTTTTTTGCACAACCTACCTGAGTTGCGTTTCCTCTTCTGCACGCCTCCACTCCTCTCCACCATGGATTTGGTCTGGATTGTGGGCTTGGTCGTGAGCGTCTGCGCCTGGTTCGCTTCAGCGGAGCGGCACAGCGTCTACTGGAACAGCACGAACCCCAAGTAAGTATCTCGTTTCCTCTGGGTTTTCCCCATGCTCATGCAGCGCTCCTGAACCCACCTTTGCGCTCACTTCTAAAAAAACAAAGATTGGTTTGGCATCTTGGACATAAAATAACTTTAAACCTGATTCTCAGTGCAGATTACATCATTGTGATCCACACTCGCATGCGTTTGGATAGTTGCAACTCATGCATATTCAGCGAGCTACTTGTGATGAATCTGTGATGGAGGACAACTGGCTGCTGTTGTCATGATAATGCAGGACAGTTGGAGTCTCTCTCTCTCTCTCTCTCTCTCTCTCTCTCTCTCTCTCTCTCTCTCTCTCTCTCTCTCTCTCTCTCTCTCTCTCTCTCTCTCTCTCCCCCTTCCTGGACTCGAACCTGTTATTACGGTAATACTTTGTCTAACCTGTTGAGATTTAATCCGTTTCGCAATCGGTGTACCAATGCTGCGGTATTAGTTTACACCATCTATTTGTCTTTGTGACGTGACAGAGTAAATAGCTCGTACCTCTAAGGGAGAATGGATGAGCGTGTTTCATTAATGCACCGAGAAATGCATTGATTGTTGTTTTTTCTTCTTCTTTATTTCAGGACTTTATCAAACTATGATCTATGAACACTAAAATACATTTCCATATTTAGACTCTTTATGCACAAGTTTATGAGTTTATTTATTGTATGAGGGAAGCAACTGTGTATCATTTTGATAAAACAATTAAAAAGTGAGTGAATTCCTCTTCTGTCTGATGCTGTTGTGTCTTCATCCAAAGAGCTGACATCCTATAGGGGAGGGTGTTTTTCCCCTTGCAAGGATATATATATATATATATATATATATAATTATTTTCCCCTGGTCTGACTCACAGCACAATGTGTTGAAATATCATATCCTCCCCCATCTGACAGAGAGTCCTAACCTTCTGTGTGCAGTGGGAGGTTGCGGTGTCTCCTAAATCAAGAGATATCACATGGGGTTTACGCGGCTGTCAGGGAGACATAGGAGTGTTCATATTTCAGGTGGGAAGACGAGTAATAATGGTGTGTGACAGAGACGGAGGAGGTAACTTGAGGCCTGACCAGTAGGTCACACTGTGGGGGAGAGAGATGGATTGCTCAGGGGAGGAGAAATTGGAGCTCAAATTGTCGGGGTTAGGGGCCATTCAGAATAAGTGGGGGTCAATTAGAATTGTGTTCGATGGTGGCCGGGTCTACGGGGAGAGTTAAGTTTACACGCCACAAACTAACTTCTACACGCACCCACATACAGACACACCCACTTGGGACGGGCAAGCACTAACAGGGACTCCTGGCATACAATCCCAGACCAGGACACTCGATCACACCAACTGACAACACCATCTAAATCAATCAGTGTTTGGGCTCTCTCTCCAGGAACACATGTCTTGTCTTGGTTGCAAACAAGCAGATATTCAATAACTCTCCCACCAGCTTACATTCAACCGCTGTTATCCTCCCCATCTCCCCTGTGGTTGAAACTACAGCGTTCACTGTTGTCGGAAAGGTCACAATTACAGCGTCAAATGCACTGAAAATCAGAATCTAGTCCCAGATGGGAAGGCGTTTTGTTGTTTTTTTTCCCCCCCCGCTGTGGAATGACAATGATCATGCCTGTGTATACATAGTAATCTGTCCTTTTGCACTTGCTATTTTTTCTCCGGATGACTGTGCTAAATCTCGCCCTTTGGCTACTCTTAATCCTGTATGTGCGGAAAAAGCACCGAGCCTCTGAGATGTTTTCATCATTCCCAGCAATCTGCTCTCCCCTTTGACCCGTCACTTGATGCAGCGTGTTGACGTCCATCTTTTCTCTCGTGAGATGTGGTTTCCCCTCTTTCTTTTTCCCTTTTTATTGTTCCACCTTGTTGGTTAGAAAGCTGTCATTAATCAAATTGATCTCAGATTGATCACTGGGGTGCATGTGGTGCAGGCTCATTTCCTTTTTCTCCATGAGTTTGTTGAGGGATTTAGCCACACACACACACACACACACACACACACACACACACACACGGGTCTATACATGCACTAGTGTGTGACTGACTTCCAAGGTCATCCCTGCCTGTACTTTAACGACCACTTTGTTCCAGCAGGAGTGAACTCTATTCCTGACTGCGTGTCTTTCAGCACTCTCTGACCTTTTCACTTGTTAGCATATTTGTAACCTTTTGTGTGTGATTAGCAACAGCTTAATCACCGGCACGGTTTATTCCCAGAAAGAGGCTCAGCAGTGTGCCCTGTCTGTGTGTGTCTGTGTGTGTCTGTGTGTGTCTGTGTGTGTCTGTGTGTGTCTGTGTGTGTCTGTGTGTGTGTGTGCAACATCACCAGATCTGTGTGACTCTTATACACATTAACCTCAGTCATCCACTCACACACATGTGCCACAGTCGTGATTGATGTTAACATCGTCCCAGGAGCCCTCTGGACTCCAATAATCTGCTCCTTTCCCCCCTTTTCCCTGCTGACAGAGCATGAGTACACCCCACACACACACACACACACACACACACCCTCCTCCTCCTCTGCTTTGTACCTGTCTCTCCCTCTCTCCAGCACCTCCCTCCCCCTCTTCTTGGCCAGGTTCCCTTTTCAACTTGGTTCTGTGGTCTCCAGTCCTGTGAGTCTGTTAACCGTTTCATGGCTCTCTCATGCACATGTTTATTTTGACATCATCCTCATAATGATGACACATTTTTTTTAGCTAATCTGTTCTAACTCTGAAGTCTTGACGTGGCTCTGCCTTTCTAACAAGCTTTTTTGTTTTTTATTTAGTTAAAACGGCAAAATACGCTTTCAAAATGTATTTCGCAGACCATCGCTGGCACAGTGGTTTAATTGAATAAGCTTGTTGAGCTGTGAAGGCTTGAATGAGGGCGTTATTCAAGGTGTGTTTCATCCATGGGAATGTTTTTTTGTGTGTGGCATTTAGCCAGTCAATAAGGGTGTTTTGTGATGCTTCCCATACAAATTGGGGAACGGTCTTCACGGTGAGCCACAGAAAGAGAATAGTAACTGGTGTGACCGATCGGGGGTCAGAGTTCGCTATGTGATGAAGTGGCACAGCCTCTATCAATCTGTCAGTCATTCTGTCACGGCGGTGGTCCCTGAATACTGGCTGCCACTCAGGCCGGCCCCTCTTCACACGGCCGTGGCTCTGCCTCTGGGAAACTCTCATTCTTCCCCCCCCTCCTGTCTTTTCGGTCCCTTTCGCTCCTTCAACCGGCTTTTATCTCAACTTTACAAGCTGTCCCTTTTCAGTCTTTTATTTCCTCACCTCCAACTCTGTCTCTCGGAGAAGGAGGGAAGCACGCTAAGAGGTGTGGAATTTTTTTTTATCGTTCTTGGCATCCATGGCGATCCGACACAAGGCACTTTGCCCTTTCCTTCACGCCCCCCATCAGCCCTCTTTCTTAAAGCTTCCTTCTCCAACCTCCCTATGAAAAGCCACTCTAGTCTTCCCAGCAAACGGGTTTATTCTTTTACTTTTTTTTTTTTTTTTTTTTCCCACTTGTCTGTCAGTGTGTGCTTCTCCCCTCTTGAGTCTGAAGCGGTGGGTATGGAAGTGGTAGAGCCAGTCTGAGAACTCAAACCGTGAAAGGGCAGGACTTTTAAATAAAGAACAAAAACAAAGGAGTAGGTTAACGTGTCTGTTTGACTCCCGTGCATGTGAGCGCGAACATGCTTAAGAGATAAGAGATGCGAGATAAGACTTGGTAGTGAGCGGGTGTGATTATGTGGACGCAATAGATATGGGATTTCTGCGATTTCCAAGTATTCTGAACCGAAGCTAGTTTCCTTGAAAAACATCCCCTTTTCCCACTTCCCTTCCTAATCCAGCTTTCGCTCCAAACACCCCAGCCCTTCTCTTCAGTAAATTCCTACGTCTATCCCCATCTTCTGCTTGCATTGTCTGTCCCCTCCCACCACCCATAATCTGACCTTGTAATCTGTCTGCTGAATTCAATCTGGGGAAAATACTCGGAGATTGTCAAACCGATGGTAATCGCCTCTTATGGGCTCATTGACGTGTGTTGAGGTTTCCGATCTTAACAGTCTGTAATCGTCTGTAAGAAGACTTTACATTTACAAGAGTCTCTTCACACACACACACACACACACACAAATCGCTGTTTTCATCCTGTTCGATATTCCAACTTGTTGTTGCCATTGTCAATGGCTTGTTTTATTGCCTGCACCAGATAAATATTTGGGCCAAAGGTTTTACCTTCCTGCAGGCATGCTCTCTGTGTTTCCCTGTGAAGTGCCTCACTTCCTGGCTACGTCTTTTCCCGGGAAAACAGCGTATCCTGTCTGCACACTAAACAATACAGTTCTCACACCAGCACACGTGGACTCTGGGAGTTGCTTGACTTTCCCAGGCCTTTTTTGTGGAATGAATATGTTTGAAGAAAGAGAATAAGTATATTAGCGGTGATTAATTGTTACCGTGAGGGTATGTGCTCAACTGTCGAGCTGTGAGGATGATTTGGGATCCGCCTCCCCGTCTGCACTGCTGTCAAATCTCTGCGTCTCTATTTTGGATTCTCCTCTGATCAAAGTCAGCCCAGTCAACCCCGCCAGTGGTTCTCTGCCCCATGCCCATCCTTGTGCCTCTTCCTTATCTTTGCAGCAGACTTCCCCTGCTCCTCCTCTTCTCAACCCACACAAAAATCACAGAGGATGAAAAAAGCATTCATATGCTGATTTATGAGTGGAGCTTGCACTTTCTTTCTCAAAGTGCATGTGTGTGAGGCAGAGATAAAGAGCACGTGTGTCCTCCTCCAGACTTGTTTGTCAAGTCTTGGTGACACTCAATGCACCGACAGTGTATGTGTGTTTGGATGAAGAAGAATTAGTCTGCAGGAGTCAGATATTATCTCTGAAAATGAAGCATTGTGTTTGTTTGGTTGTGTAAATAAGGCTCATTGTGTAAAACGTTTGTTTTTCTCTGGCCTTTTTTTTTTTTTTTTTTTTTTTTTT